TTATGGTGTACTGCATTGGCAGCTATTGGTGCTGCGACATGGCTAGTTCAAGGCATTGCACTGCTGGCAGAAATGATATTCGGGGAACTTCAGGCGAAAACCGTTCGAAAAAAAACGTTCGAGGGTATGGTTGATAAAGAGATAGAATGGTACGACCTCCGTAAAGATGGCATTGCATCTCTCTTGACCCGAATACAAACGTGAGCGTTGATCTCCTAAAAGTTGACCTCCCGCTAACTTCAGCTCAGGCAAACTCGAGAGTTTCAATTGGCCGTCTCCCAACCTCTAGGGTATTTCATCACCGAACTCTCCGGGTCCATACTAGCCATTTGTGTAGCTTTATTTTACTCATGGAGACTTACCCTTGTCCTCTTCACCACGATCCCTGTTACAGCTGTTCTTATTATCTGGATTTCCTCGAAAATTGGTCCCGCTATTGACCGGCAAAAAATTGGGCTTACGAGGGCGTTGAAAGTTGCGAACACTTCATTTTCCGCTATCTATATTGTCAAAGCATTCAATGGACAGGAGCAAGAAGTATGGAAATACAATACAATTATCAAGCGAGTAGCCCGGGAATACTTGATACAGGCGAGGGCAAACGCATTTCAAGTTGGCATAACAAGGTTCATGATGATTGGCATTTTTGTTCAGGGATTCTGGTATGGTCTTTATTTGGCACAGCGAGGTCTCGACTCGGGTCGTATTGTGACTACTTTTTATGCATGTCTATTTGCTATACAGGGCGTTGTGATCTTGCTTCCTCACTGGATGGTCATCAAAAAAGGCATGTTCGCAGGAGAAACAATCAGGAAAATTATAATACAGATGCAAAATCAGCACAAATCCGCTATCATAACCGGCACTCTGAAGCCTAACATCTGTGAAGGTGATATCGAGATCAAGGAGGTAACTTAACGGTCTCTACTTTCTAGCATGAACTAAGCTAACCTCTTCTAGGTGACATTTTCGTATCCCTCAAATCCTCGTCAACAAGTTCTTACTAGATCCACCTTCTTCTTCCCAGCCCATGAGACAACTTTCGTCATTGGTAAGAGTGGTTCGGGGAAAAGCACAATTGGAAACCTGCTGTTAAAATACTACAGTGCAACGTCTGGGGAAATTCTCGTCGATAGTCGACCAATTCAGGACCTTGATGTGGTATGGCTTCGCCAGAACATCACCCTAGTGCAGCAGGATAGCGTATTATTTAATGACACAATTCTGCAAAACATCGTATTTGGACGATCTGATCCTGTGACAGAGAAAGATGTGCTCAAAGCAATGAGCACTGCAGATTTGGCACAAACAATCAAAGATTTGCCAGAAGGTTTGGAAACCATTGTTGGGATTAGTGGAAAATCCTTGAGTGGAGGACAACAACAGAGGGTTGCACTGGCAAGGGCTCGACTCCGTGATACCCCTATCCTTATATTAGACGAGTCCACAAGCGCTCTCGATCGCACGAGTCGAGAGAAAGTTATGACCGAAATACGGAAATGGAGGGAAAGAAAAACTACAATAATCATAACGCATACTGTTTCACAGATTGAGCAGAAAGATTATGTTTATGTGATGGAGCGCGGTGTTGTTGTACAGGAGGGATATCGCAAAAGTCTTGAGGTAGAGAAGCATGGAAGGTTTTTTATGTTTGTCAAGGCTGGTCAACCTTCGTCTGTAATACCAGAAGAGAGAAATACGCTAATCGCTCGAGGAAAGCGCAACTCTGAGCCGACATCACCAATCATCTCAACATCTGAGGAATCAGAGGGAAATTGTTTGCCAATTGCAACCAAGCACCAACAAAATTACATACCCACCATATTGAGCTTTGCGAAACCTCCTGTCAATTCCTTGATTCGCAGTCCCAACCTTCTATGTAGTAATCGTTTCTCCCTTGATGTTCTAGCAGCACAAACGAACTACCTACACGAAAAAGAAATGGGGTCAACACCACCGCCACCATCAATATCGAAATTTCAGTCCCAATCAAATCGGCAATCAGTAATTCCAAATTCAGCAGCATCAGAGATCAAAGAAAAGAATTATCCGTTTCCCACAGATAGTCTCCTTGTTGAGATACCCCCTTCATCTGTCTCCAGTACCAGGCAAGCTACACAACTAGCCTTTGTCACGCAAGCAGGTTTGAGCGAAATAAACCAAGAGGGCCTCAAGTCTAAGGAAAAACCAACATTATCTACTATCAACGCAGGAATCACAAGATATGACCTGCCCAAAGTCGAAAAAGCATCATCCCATACGAGTTCATCTAATGGCTGGGGTCCGTACGAAGGAGAGACTGTTTCCATGACCGCAGTTTTGAAGACCGTCTGGCCAACACTGGGAAATTTTGATCGTTTAATCTTCATTCTAGGCATCATCACCTCAACAGTCGCTGCTAGTTCTACACCCTTGTTCGCTTAGGTCTTCAGCAAGCTCCTAGGTGTTTTCTGGCTGAAGGTGAATCAATCAGCAGAAGGCCGAAAATGGGCTTTGTCACTACTGGGAATTGCAATTGTCGATGGAATAGCCTTCTTTAGTTCTCGTTATGCTTCAGAATATGTTGGACAAGCTTGGGTCAACTTTTTACGGGTCGAAGCTCTGAAGAGAATCCTTGCTCAGCCAAAGTCATGGTTTGACGAGCCAAAGAACTCTCCTGGAAGGTTAGCAGAATGCTTGGATCACAATGCAGAAGAAATGCGGAATTTGATTGGCCGATTTGCAGCACCCATCTACATGGTGTTATGGATACTAGCAATATCTGTGACCTGGGCTCTCACCATTTCCTGGAAACTAGCTCTCGTCGCTTTAGCTTGCACACCAGTAATGTTCCTTGTTACCCGAACTTTCGACCATGTAAGCAGTTTTTGGGAAAGCAAATGCAACTTCGCCTCTGAGTCTACTGCTACCATCCTTAGCGAAGTTTTCTCCAATATCCGCGTCGTCCGTGCCTTCACGCTCGAAAGTTACTTTAAGAATAAACACTCTAAGTCAACATCTGTCACATATAGAGCTGGCGTGTCCCGAGCTATGTATTCAGGCCTCCTCTTTGGACTAGTAGAAACAATAAGCATGTTCACAACATCCTTGGTGTTCTACTATGGGGGGGTTATGATCACAAAGGGTGAGAACACAGTAACACATGTCCTCCAAGTAGTTAATCTCCTCCTCTTCGGCATTGCCAACTCCGCCGCCATCATCGCCCTCATCCCACAAGTTGAATCGTCCCGCACGACAGCAATACATATGCTGTACTTGGCCACATTGCCCTATCCTACTTCTCACGAGTACCAGGAAGGTACGAGACTCGAAACCTTGTTCCCAATTGAATTCAAGGACTGTAATTTTACATATCCCAGTCGACCGGGAAAGAGGAGTTTAAAAGGCGTTAGTTTGAAGATCAAGGAGGGAATTTGTACCGCAATAGTTGGCCCCTCAGGCTCGGGGAAATCAACAATAGCCACCCTCATCCTCGCCCTCTACCGCCCCGACTCATCCCCAGTCACCCCGACCACCGACGAAACCCCCCACTCCTTCTCCCAACTCACATTCTCCTCTCATCCCGTCACCTCTCTCAGAATCCATAGTCTCCGCACCCAGATCGCTATCGTCCCCCAGGCCACCCTCCTATTTCCCACCACAATATATCAAAATATCATTTATGGTTTGCCAGAAGCAAGTCCCTACCACTGCCGGCGTGCAGCCATGCATGCAGCAACCCAAGCCGGAATACACGATTTTATTATGTCCCTCCAGCTCGGGTACAACACTCTTATTGGCGATGGAGGCATAAGTCTCTCAGGAGGCCAGACTCAACGAATATGTATAGCCCGCGCACTAGTTAGGCAGCCGAAGTTATTGATTCTCGACGAGGCGACGAGTGCGTTAGATGCTGTGTCTGCTACTGAAATACGAGAAACAATAACAAACCTTATGGCAAACCCAAGAAGTAGAAAGGGTGCAGGGAGCTTGACGGTTGTTATTATTAGTCATAGTACAGAGATGATGCAGATAGCATCCGAAGTGGTAGTCATTGAGCACGGACGTGTAGTAGAAAAAGGAGGGTTTGAAGAACTCAGGAGGAGGGGAGGACCATTTGCGAGATTGATTGGGTTGAAGAAAGATGAGTTGGGGTTGGAAACGAAGGAGGGGTGGTAGTGTGACTATTGAGGATTTGGCGCCAGGTAAGGGGCACTGGAATAGGATTGAAAGTATTTAAATCTTGAAATGTATGCTTTTGATTCGATTATGAGGCGACGGGGTTAAAGAGAATTAGGTTTGGTAAAAGGCGATGGTTGACTCCCGTCATCGCGTCACTTGTTGACATTCACAGCACTCAGTCGAAACAAACGATTAGTTTTTTTTTCAGGCTTTCAAGAAAACTTAAAATCCACAATTTAAATGAACAAGCTTTAGATACAGAAGAGATCTCAGTATTTAAAATCCTAGTCAACTACAATCGTATGTATTTCTTAACCGTTGATCTGCTTCTTTTGCTTAAATATCTTGTACCCCAAGGTGTTATCGAACATGACAATAACCCAGCTTCTATGATTCCTTTGACCTAATTTTTAGCTCGCAACCTCACCTTCACCCCCTCCACCACGCCGTCATACCTTAATATGACCACATTCCTCTTGACAAGTACCAACAAGCCGGCTTGATCAAGTGGTTAAGATATCTGTCTCTAAACTACAGTCTTATTTAGCAACGACCTTTGTACGTCGAGTCCACAGATTATTGAAAGGTCTTGGAAGAACCCAGAAGATCATCAGCTCGATCCTAGTACCTGATACGATAATTTTCTTTTAGCGGTTATTGGAGTTCAGGCTGCCTTACTTTTTATTTTGAGAAAACTTAAAGGTACGCGACCTTTAAATTTAACTTGTGATTCTCGGTCGCGCTTTCCCTTCACAGGCATCTCGGCTAACCCTCCCTCTTTTCCTCTCATATCCACCAAACTCTATATTCCAAGATAAGCACCTCAACTTCTAAACACAGCCGGTTTGGCCCAGTGGTAAGGCATCTGTCTCACACCAGTGGCGGCCCGTGGTTGCGGTTTTGAGCAATCTATGTCGGTTGACGGACACAGAAGATCATCAGTTCGATCCTGATAGCTGGCATTTTCTTTTTGGTTTATTTTGAAATTTGAATCTCCATGTACATAAAGGCAGTCCTCTCTTTATCCACAGGTCTAGTGAGTTTTGGCTCGCTGATGAGCCGCGGTTCTCCAAAGCTTGGTGTCGTTCCTTCCTTCGCCGCCATCCCCTTAGGTTAAATATTAGTCCAGCAGATATCTGAGCTCTAAAACCAACTTGCGTCTGTATATGACTGCAATAACTCGTTTCAGCTTAAAACCAGCACATGCAAAGAATATGGTCCACACACAACCATAGGTACTATAACCAAAGCCCAGCAAGAATAAAAATCCGCTTGTTTCTGTTAGCCTAGTGGCGGAGATTTCGAATTCCATTGAGATTTGTAGGAACTGACACAAAATAAAATTTCAGAGAAGACATTAAGTTTGGAGTAGATACTGAGTTCTGTATTTTTTAAAGTTGTAACGCTACAGACATTTCATGATTGGCCCTACTATTTTGTACCTGTCCTTTTCGTTCTAGCCAGCTTTCTGAACTTCACAATCTTGGTAACTACACCTCGCTTTACCCATTCGCGGGGTTATACATACAAAAGTCGATATTTTTGTTGGCGGAGAAGCCTCCATTGTTCCCAGCCCATGTGGGGAAGCTATGTGCCTTGCCGCTTCCTCCAAAGACTGCAAAACTGAAGATAAACACCAAGACTTGTGTTCCCCCATCTAGTGCAGCGCTAACTAGGTAATTATATTTGACAAACAGGCCAGGTCGATAAAGACGGAGGTAGTATTGTGCGAAGAAGCCAATGATGAAATAGGAGAGGATGGAGGCGTTGACACCGACGAATAACCAGCCCATGTACCAGAGGATGATCGAAAGGTTGATGTAGTTGAAAAACTTAATCTTCGTCCTCCTGTACAAAAGCCAGAAAGGGACAGGGACGATAAATCCCAACAAGTAACTAATCGTCACCCACTGGTACCTGGCCCCCACACTAAACATATCGCCGGCGATGCTCCAGGCGATGGCGAGAGTATTGTATTGTTGTACATTTTGTCCGGACCAGATGTTTGATCCCTCGATGGATTTCAAGATGGTGAACTGATTTGTGACGATCGTCTTCATCATGATGTAGTTGAAGATTGCACCAATTACGGCACCGAGGATCTGGGCGGTGAATGTTGCTTTGGGGGAGAGGTGAACTAGTTGGGCGACTTTGAGATCGCGGGCGAGCCATTGACCTTGTTGGACGCCGTTGAAGCCGAAGACCGTGAAGTACATGTTTGCTAGGCGATTTTTATTAGCTGCGAGGAGAAAAATACTTTTTAAGGGATACGAACCGAGTGGTTTGCCTGGATGGATGTAGCCTGCTACCATTTGGATGATGGGTTGCTGGTTAAATTGGAAACCGGTAAGACCCATTTGGGCACCGAAGAAAAGGATAAAGACTGCGGCGAAGAGATTGGCAATTATATATCCCCACCAAGGAAGTGTTGAGTTGATGCCATAAAGGGTGCCAAGACCAATAAAAAAGCTCAAAACAAGCACGTTTCCATACCACCAATTTGGAACCTCTTCGTATCCTTCTTGGACCATCATCTTGTAGTGAGGATCCATTGTCGGATCTTCAAGAACTCTTCGCTTGTGCTCTTCCTTGCTAAGTCCCCCTGTCCAGAACATGTATGTTGATGGCTGCAAGAGCTTCTTGAGGTTGGTTGGGTGAAGGAAGAAGAAGCCAGCTTTTATGTCGGACCAATTCCATAAGAACATATGCACAAGTGCAGCGGTACAACCCATATTTGTAGTTACAAGGTAGGCGAGATAGGTACCTGTTAGATGTGGGATACCATGTTCCGCTAGACCAGTCCGATTGATCTCATTTTGAGGCGTCAAAATGAGCGACAGGTTATACTCAGAGAAGACCGTCGAGTTTGATGCATCGTCAAATAATAGTTGAGACATGAATGGGAAATTTTGGGATCCCCAAATATTTCCGTAATAGATACCCATGAAGAGAACAATGCAAAGGAGGTATCCAATGCAGCTGTTTGTCAGTGTGTACAGGGGGATCCACATTGGTGATCCAAGACTGGCAATGTACTGCCAATCAAAGCTGATGGAAAGAAATCCCAGTCCCTCGTTCCCTTGAGAGCCACCGAACAGGTTGGTGAAGAGTAAACTGTTCTGCTTGGCGAGACAGAAGATAGAGAGACCTTGTAGTAGTGGGAAGATCCACTCTGGTACGATTTCCCAAACCAATATGACAGCAAACACAATCCAGAAAACCCTCAATCGAAATCTTGTTTCGGCTTTATCTCGATGAAGAGTTTCAAGAAGAGTGACGACAGGAATATTGATAGGCCATAACATTCTAGGAAAATTTTAGTAAAACATGTGAGCATATGTGATTGAAAAGGAATACCTTGACGGCTGCACAAGTACAGAGCGCAAAAGGCCAGCTATGCCAAATCCAAGCAGCTGTGAAGATATGACGAGGAAGATTGCCGCACCAGCGTTTGGATCTGCGTTATAGTACAGTCTTTGAGCAGCAAGAATCTCAGTTGATACGGCGTTTGTGGCGGCGGCTGAGGCCATAATAACGATAAACCCATGCTCTTTTGAGTTAAAGGGAAATGGATTCAACAGAGTTAGCAACTTCCCCTTTCTTGGTATCAAAGCCAAGAGTTCTCCAAGAGCATACCCGATGACTGTCATGAATACAATAGAGATGTAGATAGCTTGAGGCTTGAAGTAATAGATTTCCTGTAGGACCGAGGCAAAGACTGCCAATCCAATTCCTGAAAATTGTGAGTTAGTACCGCTATCGTTTTTGTACTAATAAATTTCCCTACCGAGGAAGAAAGCACGAAAAGTCCATGGGCTTAAGGTTGGATCATCATCGACGTGGAGAACATGGGTGAGGACATCTTTTGCGTCTGACAGTACGGCAACCTCTCCAAAGTGATCCTCCTTTGAAGCATCGAATATTGGCGACTCGCCACCCATGTATGTAACTTCTGGGTAAGGAGTCTTGGCTTCCATTTCGATGTCTCGAGAAGACGTGTGACCAAGGTCATGATTGATGTCCGTATCCGCTCTCGCAAATCCAGGTCTATGGGTCGCCATAGTGAAGGTAAGTGTTGACCCAAAGGATTCAGAAGTCAATAGACATTTGACGTTCCACTGAAGAAATTTAAATGTTTTAGCAGGGAGGTGGTTCTTATATGTCGTTGAACTAACCCCTCATTTAAGCCTTGAGGAATGTTACATTAGAAGCCCTTATCTCAAAGATATTTGCTCTATCGGCGTAGCTAGTGGCCGTCTCCAAGCCTGGTACAAACCTGCAGTGTAAACACCCAGCACCGGTTCGAACTTCCACAACCAGTAAATTAACCTCAAGAATATCTACTGCGGGACAAAGGAGCGAATAAGAGGATAAATAGTGTTGGAAGGAGGGATCAAAACTATACCATATTTCTAGAAGCGGATTCTAGAACATCATTTCCACCAATAAACTTCTAAAGTTCATCCCAGAACAATAATGGTGACGAAACGCTACACCCATGATGGCTGAAGAAGTGAAGATAAGCTTTCCCAGGTTTTAAGTCCTTGCCAGATAAAGAAGTCGGGGCCATGATCAACGATCGGGTGGCTTCTTAGTACATAACGGCGGACTGCAAATGGATCTCAATTTGCTGAAATATAGCAGAAATTCAGGGTATCGTTCGTATTATTGTCCGTGTGGGCGAGACCATCATCGGCGGCCCATGAGCACCTGCCTCCTTGAGTGCAGGTTTCGCTATCGTGACCGTCGAGAAAAGCGAAAGGCCCATATTTATAAACTTGTACCCTTTAACCATTGTGATTCGATCGGGGTATTGAAAATGGGTTTAGGCATGGGCCGGGTAGCGTCGTGCCTGGTTCGCCAGGGGGTCTCTTTCGAAGCAGCTTCCTGTTCCATCCAAGCGTGATAAATGCTGTCAACTGTGGACCCCCGGCAAGAAGGGAAAGAAAGCTTAGGTCCGCCACAGAAAGCTTGTCTTGCGCCACGGAATACGGCATTAGGAGTTGCTCATTCGCCAGAGTTGTTGTGATAGTGATCGTGGTATCTGAAGGATTCTGGTACGAAGTGCAATGTAACCTTCGTACAAGCTGAGTTCGTTAAAGCTCGTTGCCCGATCGTCTTTCGATGGCGATCATAAATCCAGACCTTTTTCATTCAACTACACAAGGCATATATGTTTCTGTCGAACAATACATGCGTAGGCTAGTGACAGAGTTCAATTTTAAACTCTGCTTTCAAATACTGTCTTAAGGGCACCTTCATTATACCTTCATTACACCCGCATCACACCAGCATTGTATACTCTCCCCAACGTCGTAATGACTTCTTCGAGTTGCTTCCCATAACTATTCGATAAACTTTATGTTCCCATTTTCGGGGAGTCCTGGTTATGGGCAGTCATCTGCATCCAAATTCGCATTCTGTCCTGGATAAAGAAACTTGGAACCCCCCTCTTAACATTGGCAAGTGCTACTTTGCAAAGATAATAGATTTACTTTGAACGGATTCGCCTCAATAAAAGATTCAGAGGCTAAGATAGAGTGTTTTCATTCTATGTCCAAGTCTCAGGACCCGTTCTCAATCACTTGCAGCATTTCAAACTTGTGCACAAAGCGTGCACGACATCATGCTTCGGGAACTAATATTTGTGCGTCCAACAAAATAGATAAATCTACCTTCTATACAGGTTCCATTTTGTATTTGCTCGGAATATCTAGGCGGCTCGAATGACTAGGGGTACGCACTGAAATTTTATTCTGTGGCACTAAAAAGCTATCTTGTTTTATCACTAATGACATTTTTGTATCATTAGAGCAAAGACTGTGCAACCAAATATAAAGCGTACTTCTCTTTAGCGCTTGTCTACAACTCTAGAATAAATTATATCCATCAAATCCTTACACATCTCTATCCCTAAATCACCATTTCAAAAGTAGCCCATTCCATTTCCCTTACAATTGGC